GCCTGACCCTTTCCTTTCCCCTCTTGCCCCCACGCCTCCAAAGAGTGTTCAGACGCTATTCAGACGCGTTCAGTTATGCAACCAGCTTATAACTATGCAAATGTATGCGGCTTTTCCCTTACACAATGTCCTGTTTTCTTTCAGCTTCTTTTCTGGAAATTCGGCGCTTCCTGTGGGAGTGCAACCCGAGTCCCAGGGAGCCGTCTGGAACCCTCCCAGCCTCCATCCCCGGGCACGCTGGAGCTGGCGCCGGCTCCTGTCAGAAGCCTCACCACCCCGGCTGCTCAAGTCCTCCTGCCCACCACCCCAGAGCATGCTGCAGAAGCTGGTGCCAACGCCCTGCAAGCAGCGAGGACGTGGAGGGGGGCTGCCTCTGCACGGCCGGTCCAGCTCTGCGCGCCGGCGTCCGCCAGCGGCACCGGCGTAGGAAGCAGCGTGAGAACAAGGCAAGTGCAGACCAGCACTTCTCTGGTACGTCCTCGTGGGCCGCAGGGGTTTGTGGCCCTGGCAGCTCCTGAAACAGCGATCTCTCTTGTTATTCAGTACCTCTTGATGGGTTTTCCTCCATGGCTTACTCCAAACACTTTCTGAATCCATGGAAACTTTTAGCATCCAGGACATCCTGCAGCAGGGAGTTCCTCACCTCAGCTACCAAGCGTATGAAGAATCAGTTCCTTTGACCTCAACTGGCCTCATGCCGGATTCTGCAATAACCCTCAGTCCTTGAGGTGGAAAAGCCAGTGAACACGTCTCCCCACTGCCAACTACTATGCCATCCACCTTGGTCTCCTCTCCATCTGTGGGGTCTACTCAGCCCTTTCTCTCTCTGATGTTTCACCTTTCTTACGCTTCTCCGAGTCCTCACAAGATGGCACAATGAGATGGGACAATGAACACCTCAGGAGATGACATTCTGTTCTCTGCCCCCTTCCCAGTCATTTCCAGCGACTCCATTCCCTCTGTGGTGTGGAGTGGGTAAGTCTGGGAAGTCCCTGTGCTGCTGCGCGCCCATATTAGCCCCGTGTTAGTCTTTTGTTAGTAAGCTTCCACTAATGTGGTTGGTGAAGTGGATAGAGAACTGGCTGAATGGCAGAACTCAGAGGGTTGTCATCAGCGGTGCTGAGTCTAGTTGGAGGCTGGTGACAAGTGGTGTCCCCCAGGGGTCAGTACTGGGCCCAGTCTTGTTTAACTTCTTCATCAACGACCTGGATGAAGAGTTAGAATGTACCCTCAGCAAGTTTGCTGA